GTTCGATACTGTTCACATTGTATTATTCGAACACACGATACAGTAACCAACCAGTTTTGAGTTGGTTAAAATTCGAGGCTGAACGAGACGAAGAAGCGACGAGAGAAAAGGTGTAAAGATATAGATAGGAAACATACGATGACCTCAGTAATCATGTCATTCGCGATCACCGTTTCTTACACAATTAACGAAGATAACGAAACTAGCCTGGAATGACAAGCAAGCAAAAATTAAATAAAATTGAAGGTTCGTATCACGACTAACACGTTTCTTTTTTCGTTACACTTGCTCGTACAACATCCATATCATCTGCACTGGCACTCGCGTCTACACTCGGCTCGTCGTCTCCTACAATCTAACTTCGTCTGTTTCCGTCATTCTTCGACTTTCGCGGCAACACTGGCGCCTCTTCGTGATTCAAACCGCATCTCAACATGTATTCATTTTAAAGCAAATGAATTGCACAGATCAACTTCCTTTTCGAGCCAATAAATTCATAGAATTTTATTCTATTCCATTGCAGGATGTTAATTATTATTTATTATCTTTTTCTTATTAACGTTCCACCATAGACGAAATATACTTTGTTCATATACCTCGTCTGTGGTTCCACGTCACTGGAAAGTAACATCAGTTATTTTTGAATATGAATACAATACTTGTTATATAGTATTTCAGCTAAATATTTAAGCATATTTAAGCATAAAAAAAAGAATTGTGAGAAAAAATAATGAAAAAATTTCTTGAAAGAAATTTATAATTTTATAAAATTTTCAGAATAAACTAAAAGTAACATAATTTATGTATTTGTGTTGGATAATCGGTTTTTATGTAATAAAGCAATACAACGAATTGAAATATTTTTTAAAAATATAAATATTAGTATATATATCCTTATTGTATATTCTCTTCAATATTTATGTCTTTAGAGATTGTATAATATTTTACTACGTAATACGGATGACATTTTGTCTATGCTTATTTACAAAACACATATGTGTAGGGCGTGGTTATAAGATTGTTACGAAGGAATCTACTATACCGATTTATGACATTGATAACCATTCAAATTAAGAAGATTCATTTAATGCGGATTGAAAATATATTTATTACTGATTCTGTGTTTATCGTGAAAACAACTTCAATAACTAAATTTTTTTCAGATATAATCAGAATATATTCATTTAATATAATTTTTATAATAAATCCTAAATAAAACTACTATCTACAGTGAAACGATAGAGAAGCACACAAGACTCGTGGCTTGTGACATTTTAACTCAAAATCATTATTTTACA